TGAATAATGAAATAAAGAAAAGAGATGAATGAATGAATTGAATGAATGATAATGAAATGAATGAATAATGATGAATGAATGATGAATTTAAATTAATTAGATGAATGAATTAGATGAATGTAATGAAATGAATTAATTGAATGATGAATGTAATTAATGAATGAATGAGATTAATAATGATGAAATGAATTAATTAAATTGAATGAATGATTATTATGAAATGAATAAGAATGATATGAGTAATGAATGAATGAATGAATAGAATGAAAATAATAATAGAATAATGAAGAATGAATGAATGAATGAATTATGAATGAGATGAATGTAATTAATGAATGAAGAATGAATGAATGAATGATGAATGTATGAATGAAGATTATGAAAAGAAAGAATGAAATTAATGAATGAATTCATGAGATGAATGAATGAATGTAATTAATTAATGATTAATGAATTAATGAATGATTAATTAATTAATGAAATAAAGAATTAATGATGAATGAATTAATGAAAGAAAGAATTGATAAATGGAATGAAAGAATGAATGAATGAATGAATGAATGAATTAATTAATGATGAATGAATGAATGAATGAATTATGAATTAATGATGAATTAATAAATGAGATAATGAATTAGATAATGAATTAATTAATAATGATTAATTAATTAATGAATGATGAAATGAAATGAATGAATGAATGATGAGATGAATTAAAGATGAATGAATGTAATTTATTAATTAATGAAGAATGAGGATGAATGAATGAATGAATGAATGAATGAATGATGAATGAATGAATGAATGAATGATGAATGAATGAATGATGAATGAATGAATGAATGAATGAATGATGAATGAATGAATGAATGAATGAATGATGAAATGAATGATGAGGAGATGAATGAATGATGAATGAATGAATGATGAATGATGGATGAGAATGATGAATTAATGAATGATGAATGAATGAATGAATGAATGAATGAGTGATGAATGATGTGAATGAATGAATGAATGAATGAATGAATGAATGAATGATGAATGAATGAATGATGAATGAATGAATGAATGAATGAATGAATGAATGAATGATGAAGGTAATGAATGAATGAATGAATGAATGATGATGAATGAATGAATGAATGAATGAATGAATGAATGAATGAATGAATGATGAATGAATGAATGAATGAATGAGATGAATGATGAATGAATGATGGATGAATGATGATGAATGATGAATGAATGAATGATGAATGAATGAATGAAAGAATGATTAATGATGAATTAAATAATTGAATGAATTAGATGAATGGAATGAATTAATGATTAATGAATTAAATGAGAATGAATGAAAGAATGATGAATGAATGTAATGATGAGATGTAATGAATTAGATTAATTAAGAATGATATTAATGAATTAATGAATGAACTGAATGAAATGATGAATAGTAGAAGAATGAAATAATGAATGAATTAATGAGATGAAATTAAATGAAGAATTAATGAATGAAATGAAGATGAATGATATGAATGAATTAATGAAATGAAGAATGAGATTGTAATGAAATTAATGATGAATGATTGAGTAATGATGAATTGAATGAATATGAATGATGAATAATGAGAAAGAATTATGAAATATTGAATGAATGAATGATATAATAATGAATTAAATAATTAATGAAATAATAATAAAGTAATTAAATTAATGCATGAATTATGAAGAGAATGAATGAATGAATTATAATGAATGATAGAATGAATTAATTAGATTAATGAAAGGAGATGAATTAATGAATAATGATGAATAATGAATTAATGATTAATGATGATGAATGAATGAATTAAATAAATGAATGATTAATTAAATAATAAAGAATGAATGATTAATTAATAAAAATGAATAGATGAATGAATTAATGTAATGAATGTGAATGAATGAAGAATTAAGATTCATGTATTAATGAATGGAAATTAAATTGATTAAGAATATAAATGAATGGAATTAATGATGAATGAATTAATGAATTGGATTAGAATGAATGCTAAATTATTAAATGAATTCATTTATGAATTAATACATAATGAATTTAAATGAATGAGATGAATGATGAATGAAATAATGAAAATATGAATAATGAATTAATGATATGAAATGAATAATGAAATGTACACACCATGATGATAATGAATGCATGAATGAATGAATATGAATGAATGAATTGGGATGGTGGGTGGATGTGAGTGAATTGGATATGATGGGATGAGATGGGAATAGGGAATTGATTAATGTTATGAATGATGATGGTGGATTTGGGGGAGGGGAGTGAGTTGGTTTTAATGAGGTGGGATGAGGTATATGGGTAGAGGATGATTGAAAAGATATAGTTGATGGAGGGGTGAGTATGTGGTGTGGTTTTTAGAAAAGGGGTTTATGGTTGTATAATCCACAGAACCAGGCCTCGTTGAGCGGATAATCTGCCTGAGGCCCAATGGGGTTCATAGGAGACCAAAGCAGACCATAGAAAGAAGCATAGATACAAAAGGCCAACTGTCAACCAGCTCCACAGGCGCCCCGTCCCAGAAACACAACAGCCAGGCAGAAACGAGCTCCGAGCCAGCTCCCATTAAGAGGATGAAAAGGAGCACATCCAGTTAGTCACAGTCAGAGAAACAGGACTACACTGGAAAACAGGCCAAGCTCCAACATCTATAAAACTCAAACCATCCTATAATCCATCTATCCATCCATCCATCCCTCCTTCTTTCCATCCATCTATCCTCCATCCATCCATCAGGGGGGAGGGTGGGCTTTTTTCTATCACCAGTCCATCACAGTAACATGTGCACTAATTTCTTTAAGTGACCCTTGACCTCAGTATGTAAAATGTGCTGCAGGCTGCTTTCTGTTTACTTGATTTTCTATATGGTAAATGGCATGTCTTTACCATACCTGCTGTGCTGAAGTTAAAGTAACGTTAAAGCTGAAGTCTGTAAGTTTTTAAAAATCACTTTTTTGTCATATTGGCTAAAACTGTCCCTATGCCCAGACAGCAGTACATGTGATATGTAACCTGTGAAAAAAACTGCTTCAATTGGTCCCGCCTACTGCCTGTATTTCACTCTGGAAAGAATAATTCGGGACGAGTCAAAACAACCAATCACAGCCAGAGGAGCGTCTGATGGAGTGTCAATCACAGCTCACACACGCTGAATCCCCCCCCCCCCCTCTGGTCGCATGCGGTAGCCGCGCAGATGCTGTGACAGGGGTGGAGCTTGGAGGTGGGGCATGAGTGAAGCAGAGAGGGTGGGGGAGTGGCGTGAAACCTGTTTTTCTTCAAATTTTCAGTCGAAGTCTGCTCTCTCCTCAATGTTACAGACTGCAGCTTTAAGCTTCATTAGTCTGCACCATGGGGTGATGATTAATATATTTCCTTTACTTTGTCTCAGTGTCTTTATGATGTGCTTATCTGAAATAATCAGGTAGCTTGTAGTTCTTTAAAGGCAGGTCACAAATCAGACAGGTAAGCATGTGGTTAGTGTTCGACACTTTATTTGTATCGTACATTTTGAAGAGCTACAGCATTCTAAGTCAGACATTAACCTGGTGAGAATGAATTTACTCTGTGGACGGACTAAACCTGGAATCAGTGTATTCAATAAGGCTTAATTCTTGCTCATAAAGGCTGAATATGATGTATGAAGGATGTACAGGGTAAACATGACTTTTTATTTTCTTCTATGTCTCACTGGACACCACTAAATATGAGCCACCGTATCGCTCAATAAAAACAGAAAACTGGCACAGCTGTAAGTTCCATAACACCTTCACTTGTTGGGATCCATAGGCTTGCCCACCAGAGGGCGCCGAGGATCCCTTCCCGATGGTTTGTACTTCTGTTGGGATCTGGGGTGCTGTCTACCTTCCTCCACCAGAGGGCGTACTGGATCTCCTGAAGCTGCTTCTCATCTGCTCATCAGGGGACCAGTACTGGGCTGTGGACAACACTCCAGTGCCAGAGTGTTTTGCCAGTTATGGTTAGCAAGCCTGAGCCAACCTGCCTGGCTGAATCAAGACTCCCTGATTACTTGAACCTGAACCTAACCTGTTTTTCCTCTCTGCTTCTAGGAAGAACCTGTCTGAAATCAGAAACTCTGGAAGAGTTTCTCTGTCAGAAACCGGTCTGTCTGATCAAGGAAGAGCCCTGGAGATCAGAAACTCTGGAAGAGTTCCCCTGTCTGAAAACAGTCTGTCTGATCGCGGAAGAATCCTGGAGAACCAAACCTGTCAGCCCTCAGCCTGCCGTCAGCCTCTGGACCCTCCAGGTTTTCCCCTCTGCCGCTCTGCTCAAACCTCTGAACAGGTACAAACCTGCGCTCACTCAACCAGCAAGATTACCAGGACTTCTGCTAACCATTCTGTCCCCCTCTGCAGTGAAAATCTGTCGTGACCAGTCCTGGACCAGATTACCCCCAGAACCTGTTCAGTGTTCAAACCAGCTTTATTTAAATCTGAAATGCAGAAGCTTTGATTTCCCCTTTCGGCCGGTGGACCAGTAGTCTGCCTGTTCTGCATCGATAGCAGCGAAACCTCGCTGTCTTTACTGTCATTAGGATTCCATTGCTTAGAGAACGAGGAAGTAAAGTGTGTTTTGATGTCAGTAAATGATTTGTCAGCATCTACCTCTAAGCCATAGAATGAGGAAGTCCCGAAGCAGCCATAAACAGGTGAGAGCAGCCTTACACAATCAGACAGGTAGAGCCTTTCCTGGACTCAGCACCAGCTGCTGCTGGGATCCGATAAATGCTATGCTTTCCTCTAACTTTATCATTTCTTGTCATTAACTTGAAGGTTTTCTCAGACAGGAATGGCCGCTGCAGTCTACCTGAACCGAACAGTTCCTCCACCACAATCAATGGAGCCCCAAACTGAAATGAGGACTCAAAGCAGCTCTGAGAACAACCTGAAGTTTATCTGTGAGTTCAGACCTGGGACCAGTCCTGATGAAGACCACGGAACCAGCAGGAACTATGAGTCCGTGTCCGTCATCCTACCAGCTCAATGCAACATCTGCCAGCTGAGACTCCGCATTTGCATGCAGGTATCTTCACCACTGCAGCTGTTTTTGTGGCTGTGATCATAATAAGAATCATCATGAAAGAAGGTCTACTGACTATTATTGTCTAAAAAACTGTTTCTAGCTCAGTGAGATTTGGCTCCTAAAGCAACTGTCTGGAAATTGCTGATGTTAAGAAAAGTAAACATTAAATTCCAGAAGACAAAGACCCGTATGAATGTTTTAAACCACTTCCTTTATTCTTTGTCTAAAAAGACAAAGAATAATGTAAATGCTTTTCTACTCCCTTATTGGGGCTTTTTCATAGATTTTTGTCCAGATGCAGCAAACAGTGCTCCATGTGTCCCTAAAACATTTAGGGAAATCAGCCAAGTTAACCAGCATAGTCATGTAAGGCGTCTCTAGGGATGAGTGAAGCAATATAGCTCGACAAAAAGATTACAAACATATCTAGAAATATCTGCAAACAGCTTCTGTTTAAGTTTCATTCAAATTCTATTCAGTTTATTTCTATAGCTCCAATTCACATCATGTCATCTCAGGTCACTTTCCAGTTCACCAGATCATCCAATCAGATTGATTCAAAGTTTTCTATCTAAGGAAAACCAGCTGATTGCATCGACTCATTGACTCTTCAGCAATCCCTCACGCTAAGCATGCTTGTAGCGACAGTGGAGAGGAAAAACTCCCTTTGAACAGGAAGAAACCTCCAGCAGAACCAGGCTCAGTGTGAGCGGCCATCTGCTGAGATGGTTTATTTGATGGTTTAATTCAGCCAAATTCAGGCCAAAGGCACAAAACAAACCTCTAATGATTGATCCCCCAGGCCAAACATTCGAAGCAAAAATTCCCTAGTTTCTTCCAAAAATGAAGATGTTAGCAGGACTTTAATTAAAAAACACACACAACAGATGAACAATGTCTGATGAGTTACGGCAAAATCATTCCTGTGTTGCAAATTTATTGTATGTCAACATTTTGTTTAATCCGTAACCCTAGCGCTGTTTAATCTGCAAGAGCTAAGTTCTCTCCACTGGGCAACAGTTAAAGGCGCTCAACAATTCCCCTGTGTCAGGGGATTTACCATTAGGCAATACTAGGCGGTTCCTGGGGGCCTCAAGTTCCTGGGGGCCCCATAAAACTCTGTTTCCATGTAATGTTAATACAGTTATTCCTTATTTGTGCACATTAATTATGTTTTTGATAAAATCCTTTGGCTAAAATGCCATCAGAACGCTGATAATATTAAGTGTGTCTCAGCCCCCCCTTCAGTGTCCACCATATTGGATCAGTCCATTTGCTGCACATGTTCAGAAAGGTCCAAACAGACAGCAGCAAACCATTTGAAAACAAACCATGCAAAGAGCAGTGTTGCCAACTTAGCGCTTTAGTCGCTATATTTAGCCACTTTTCAGACCCCTCTAGCACTTTGATTTCTAAAAAGCTCCTAGCGCCAAATCTAGAGACTTTTTTCTGCTACTGGATACTTTGGAGACAACATCTAAAAGCAGCGAACTCTGCTCTCCAGAGCGAGTAGATTGGTAACCCCGCCTCCTGCTCTCCTCTATCTTGTCTGCTGTCATGATTCATGCAGCTATGATTTCATCCAAATGAAAAATGGAGAACAGATAAGCAGATCATGGCTTGTCTACAGTGAAAAGAAGGACTGGGTTATTTACTTTGGCCTTTTTGGAAACACAGGAAGGAGCAATCAGCTAAGTGAGCTTAGTGCTTGGAAAAAATCTTTCATTCCTTTAGAGACAGCATGAAAAGTCAGCTGAGTACAAAACATAGAGAGGAAAACAAGAAGAAAAGGGACAAGAAGAGAGGGACACAACCTAGAACAGAGAATGGATGTCTATTCTATTAACATTTCTACATCTGGAGAATGGGGCTGTTGGATGTGTTGTCAGTTCAGAGGGGCCCCTGCCTGTCTTTGCCTAGGGCCCCACATTTCCTAAATCGTCCCCTGCACTGTGTTATTTTCCATGCTGATGAGTTTCACTGTGTTCTGCTGTTAACAGCGTCAAACTGTCTGCCTTCCTCCATCCAGGCGCAGCAACAAAGCTGCCATCCAGATCCGTTTGCAATACTGGATCCAGAGAAATACCTGCTGCTGTATGCCAGAGGGGGGGACTGGTATGAAGCCCTTGATGACTGTCAGATCCTGCGGACGCTAGACATCCCATGGTCACTAGAGGACTCTCGGTGTTTAGTTGCACACATAGTTGCCAAGCCGCGGGTTGCTGGTGATTCAGAACAGAAGAAAAGACAACAGCAGACTTTGAAATACCTGATTGGACATGACCTGGAGCAGGAGGCCTCAGACAGACTGGGGGAACTTACCTTCACCCGCAGGAAGCTGGCGTCTCCTCGAAGGGTGGAGCTGAAGAATCGCCATGACGTGATGTACGCCACAGAGCCCTGGGTTACACAGGCCCCCGTTCCCAGTGAGCTGGAGGAATGGTTGAACAGGAAGCTTCCTGTCACCCTCCACTACATGAGCAAGATCAGCTTCAGCATACTGGTTGATCTGAAGGCCACTCCGGACGTCCTCCTTCAGGTGTTTAGAAGGGTTATGGAGGAACAAGGGGTAGAATACGACTTTTCTGAAGAGCTGGTGTTGAAGGTTTCAGGGAGGGAGGAGTTCCTGTCGGGGGAAAACAGCCTCATTGATTTCCTTTGGGTTCGTCAGTGTTTGAAAGCCAGTCAGGACCTCCACCTTTCTGTGGTCCCCGTCTCCAACCTCCCTCCAGATTCCGTCCGATTTGTCGACTGGCCGCTGGTTGATGGTTTTAGTGGTCAGTTTAGCGCCCATGAGGATCTTAGTCTCCATGGGAAGGATCTGGATGACATCTTCATGATATCTCTGTTGGACTGCAACAGAAAGCTCCGAGTCAAACTGCTTGGCTTTGATATCCCACAGCTGCCGAGCAAGCCCCCCCAGTCTGTCTTTGTGGAGGCGTCCATCCTTTATGGGGGCAAAGTGCTCAGTTCAGTTTGCTCCCCCTCCAAGCCTTTTGCAGATGAAGTGCTTTGGAATGAGTGGCTGGATTTTGATATTCTGCTGCGGGACCTGCCTCGTGGAGTCAAGCTGAGCTTCACTATTAATGCATGCGCCGGCGACACCTCTCCAACCAGCAGAGACAGCAAGCCAGCCGACCTCCAGAGAGGGAGGGGGAAGGTCCTCTACTTTGTCAATCTCCTCCTCATAGATCACAGGTCAGTCTTTGCTGCTTTCAGAAGTTGTTAAAACACAAACCTATTCTGTTTTTCTCCTTTGGGCAAAAATAATTCTGTTTAACTCTTTTACTTTATAAGATACAGATTTGCTGTTTCAATTATTAACGTCTCATGAACAGATGTAAATATATAGACATTCTGCTTAAAGACAACCAGACATGCCGTGAACCAGACCACCGTTTATTCTAGAGATGCAGCAGCATAACTTCCACTTTCCCATTTTATCTTGACTCTGATTCATTTCCACGTGTGAAAATAAATTCACTAATAACAGAAAAGTACCCAGAGAACCGACAGAAGCAGAGCCATAAAGTCTCAGCCGTCCATTCAAGCTAGACTTTAACCCGACTGTCAGGCTGTTTAGTTTTCCTTTGTTTAAATATTGTTTCTGTTTGACTGTTTTAGAACTAAGGAGAGGCCACAAAGAAAATAAAGTTATAACACAATAACAGCTGCTTTTTTTATCCAACACCTTAAATTAAAATAGCTGAACTGCTTCCTCGCTCAGTTCTGATAAAAACACCTGAACTGTTTTATCTCTTTTCATTGGTCTTTTTCCATTTTATTTTTGATTGTATTTGAGTTCTTAGATATTTCCTGTTCGCCATCTTGTGTCAGTCTCCTTCTCCCTTCTTGCCTCCTCTGTTCACACCTGCTCCCAGTCTGCTAACTAGCCTGGTCTTTCTTTCTCTCTCCTATGTTGCTGATGAAGGTTCTCAGTCATCCAGGTCATAGTCATTCCGTAAAAATTCAAAAAATATTCACTGGACTTGGTTTCCAAGATCTGAAGACGTTTCTCCACCTCTCCAGGAAGCTTTCTCAGACATTAGAATTGAGAAAGCTTCCTGGAGAGGCGGAGAAACGTCTTCACATCTTGGAAACCAAGTCCAGTGGATATTTTTTGAATTTTTACGGTTTGTCCTTATTTCTTTGCCCGCTTGTTGTGAGGATTCCTGGTTTTTAGTATTTTTGATTTTGGTGGATTTATGTTTTGGGATTTTTTGCTTCTGTTTCCCTTTTTTGTTATTAAATCTTCAAGAAACTTCAGCTTTTGTGTTTGCATTTCGGCCAAACCTCCACCACCACTTGACACTGTGAATGGGAAGTGTTGGTGCAGGGCTTAGAGCAGCGCTTGGTTCAATCCCCACAGCCTGAGAAAGACCCTTAACCCCACAATGCTCCTCGGGCGCCGCATAATAGCAGCCCACTGCTCCCCAAGGGGAGGGGTCAAAATGCAGAGAACACATTTCCATATTATTGTAACGTACAGGATTATGGACCCAGGAAACAGCTCAGAACGGTAAGTGGAATGCAATAGTTTTTATTTATAATGGAAGGCGCAGGGGGCGTTCAGGCGGCTCTCAGTCAGGAAATCCCCTGTTACTGGGTCGCAGAGTGGGCGATTGGCACCGCTTAGGGTCCGGGGCAGGAGTCCGTGTGATGAAGGGGCTTGTGGAAACGGCGGCCGTTGAGCGGCGGATGATTAGCTGAGGACTGAGACCGATGAGCTCCAGAGACAGTTCGTTTGTGGATTCAGAGATGGGGTCCGAGCGAAGGTACAGAGGGGCAATCCGGAAGAGAAGTCCAGGTCCGTTCGAGGGTTCGTTTACTGGCAGGTTGAGAGAAGCAGAAGAGTTAGGCAGACTCGGTTACTCACTGACTGAGTGGGGTTCAGGCTCAGAGGCAGGCAATCCAAGGCAGAACTGGTGCAAGGATTCAGAGGCAGAACTGGTTTGGATTCAGGGCAGGCTGTCAGGATCAGATAAGGGGTCTGGCAGGCTCGGAGAAAAAGGCAAAAACAGGTCAGGTAACAGGTAGGCAGGCAAAAGGTAGATAAGCTGGAAGGTACTCAAAAGTTGGTTTGAGACGATCTGGCACTGGGAACAGATCCAAATGAGCTATATATAGAGGTGGGACCAATTAGAGACAATTACAGGCAGGGTGGAGTGAGCAGGTGTGAGGAGTTGGAGATTAAGCCAGCACCAGTGCCGAGATCGTCACAATTATGGGACAATAATGGGATTGAATTTTTACATTATGAGGTTTGTGTGAAATAACTGAGAATGAAAGGATGAAATAAGCCACCCTGTGGATATTCTGGGACGCAGAGTAAATAGCCTGAAGGTTTGCAGCGTTTCTGTAATGAAGGAATGTTCAGTTGAGTGAAATAAGTTAAATAGTCTCGGTAAATTAGTACTCAGTAGAATCCATCACTAATCGTTTTTAGAGCTTCAGGCTCTAACCTCCTGCTTTCTTTTTTAAACGCTGTGCAAACATTTAATGATCTGTATTTAAAAGTTTAATTAGTCTCCACTGTAATAACTCAGCCTATCACTTAATTAGACAGAGACAGTCGGATTGGTTTGTAGAAACAGATAAATTCTGTTTTAGGCGGTGGAACGAAAAACTCAACAATCGTATTTAAGGAAAAGTATTGATATTGTATTGACTTATAGTCAAATCTTACTTAACTACTTGTACATTTAAACATGCATTGGTCAATAATCTACTCAAGATAAACTAATTAAGTACTTACTTTTGAACTGTACTTAAGCTTTCGAAAACACAAATGACATTTTCTAATAATGTTAAACAACCTGTAACTTTTAGAAACCACCTGATGTATTGATGCTGCTATAAGTTCTACTCCACCTGGGAAGAACTTCAACAAAAAGAAACCAAGCATAGCTATTTTTACCTGTTATTAAAAAAACAAACCAAAAAGAAAACAGGAGAGTCTTGATTCTCCTCCACCTTCCCTGAGGAATAGAGGTTTAAGGTGGAATCTATGACCACAAAGAAACTCTGATTTCAGAATAGAACTTTATTGTCATTCAGTCACAGAGCAATGAAATTCCCTCTCTGCCTTTAACCCCTCCCATTGGGGAGCAGTGGGCTGCCACTGTGCGGCGCCCGGGGAGCAGGGTGGGGTTAAGGGTCTTGCTCAGAATTGTAAAGGTCAAAAGGTCAACCAGCCCCCCTACCTTCTTCAAATTAGACAAAATTAGTGTCAAATGTTTGTGCAGCAAAACTTTTCTTTTGTGCCGCTATCATTTTAAAGATATAAAGAAATTTTTCTAGAGGTCATCAAAGGTCAACCAGCCCCCCCACTTTCTTCAAATTATAAGAAACATCTCTTTTGGGAGAATTTGAAAAGGGTGGGGGGGCTGGTTGACCTTTTGACCTTTACAATTTCATCAATACCTTCAAAGCCAAAGCAGCACAAACGAAAATTTTTGCTGCACAAACGTTTGACACTAATTTTGTCTGATTTGAAGAGTGTGTGTGTGGGGGGGGGGCAACTTCAGTCAGGTCCTCACTAGTTGCATTTACATTAACCATCAAATTGCATAAATTGTAATTATGAAAAGAAATGTGCTAAATGGAAACTCACCCTTGAGGATACCAAGTTTCTGCTCCTCGTTGAGGTGGTTTTTAGGTTATGTTGATTTTTATTTTTCACAAAACTTCAATGGGAAACTTTTTGGCGTCACATGAGTCACCGTGCAGCTGGACATTTGCTGCTATTTAAAAAGACGAATAAGACTGTGAGTAGTATAGGGATGGTAGCGCCCCCTAGAGCTGAGGCTGAAATATGGACGTTTACATCTGCAGTAGTTTTCATCGCATGAACAAATGTATTTTTATGCAATTGTCCTTTTATTTATTACTTAATGGAAATACCACAATTGCAAAAAATAGCATAATTAAAACTAGCAGAACATCAACATTGATCTGCAAGAATTTGTAATGTCATATTTTAATTTAGCAAATTAATTTTCCTAATGACACATTGAGCAGTTTGATATTGAATGGAAACACTATCTGTGTTTCCCTCTTATCTGTTTGTATGCCGAAGTATTTATGCTGAAGGATGATTCGTTTTTCCCTAAAGATTATTTTAAGGTTCTAGTGTGGCTTCAGTTTTTAATTTTTTAAAGTAGACAGACAGGAAAAGGGATTAGAGAGAGAAGGAGAAGAACGGCCAACAGGCCATGATTTGAACCCTCTGCTTCCAAAGCAAACTGCTGCATCTGATGCCTCTGTTGCCCATAGAAAGCATCATTCATTTAATGCCACTGTTCATATGTGTCCTAAAGAGTCTCTGATTTTTCCACCAGGTCTGTCCTCAGCCAGGGTCCCTACACTCTGCACATGTGGTCCTACCCGGATCTGGAAGATGGAGCCATCACCTACCAAGCAGACAAACTGTCCTCTGCTACTAACCCCCATATAGATGAGTCCATGGCCATCAGCTTCCTCCTGGATCGCTACAGCTTCCCCGTGGTTCTCCCAAACACCTTTAGACACAGCGATAGCTCTGGCAGTCCCACCTCAGGCCTTTTCCCTCATAAATCCACCGCCAGCACCGGCTCTCTTTTCCCTCAGGGGACATTTCCTTTAGAGACGGACAGCGTGACTCGGAGGTCCCCATCGCCAGTCTTTAACACCAAGGGCGACCACCTCAGGAGGTTTAGAGAGGAGAGTGTCCAGTATGCCTCGAACCTCCCCCACTTCTTACGCGATATTAATTGGTTAGATCGCAAAATGGTGGAGGACGTGCACTGGCTCCTGGGACTGTGGGATCCTGGGGAGCTGGATGTGCACGTGGCGCTGGAGCTGCTGAGTACGGATTTCCCTGATGAGATTGTCAGGAAACTTGCAGTGCGGAGGCTGGAGAGTCTGCCCAATGATGATGTGCTCAAGTATTTGCTGCAGCTGGTGCAGGTATGTCTGAGATCTTCATGTCAACCATAAAAACCTCCATAGCAACAGCAAACACAGCAGCAGTGCGCATTATTAGTACTTCTACATACTTTTCCATTTGGTTTCAGACACAGAATGAAATGTCTTTTATTGGGAGTTAATATCAGAAACAAACCAAGCAAACATCTGATGGTGACGCTGATTATTCACTGAACTAATTTCCCTGAATGAAGTATTTCTGAACTGATTGATCTGCTGACCTGCTGGAAGAGGAAACTCCATCTCCAGCCTTCTACCGTCTCCACCAGTTTCTGGATCCATTTCTCTTCCTGTCTTCTCTGTTCCCACAGCATGATGCTGCCAACACCATATGTGAGCATGTTTAGGGATAATGGCTGTACTGCAGCAGCAGAGTGTCACAGTTAGCTTGTCGCAGGTATAACAGAGATATTTTTGATTTATGCCCAGTTTTGAAGCGTGATCTGCACTGTTATTCCACGCCGCAACGCAAGAAGGACAGTCACCAACTAGCTAGGATTAATGGTGACCGTGTGTCGGTTTGACGAACTTGTTCGCCGTCTACAACCCCTCATCCAACGGCGGACGACACACAGTTCACCGTGAGCGTTCCCCAAAGACCAGCCGTGGCGCTGCGTGTTTTGGCTTCGGGTTCAAACCAACAGACCGTCGCTCAGAGCTACAAACTAGCGTCCTGCACGGCGTCTGGGACAGAGTCCGAGGTGAGCCAGGCGCTGTGGGCGGAGCTACAGCCAGAGCTTCTGCCATTAGGGACCAAACAGGAAATACGCATAGAGTAGAGTGGATGGAGAACTGACCAATCAGAGGCCTCCTTTCTCTCCTCCCTGCGAACCCATCCGCGTTAACACTGTCCGCGATAACCCCGTCCGCGATAACCAACCATTTTGGGGAGGTGCACCAATGTGTCTGCGGAGGGGGGGGGGGCATATCTGCATTAACTGCGACACACACAGATGACCTTGTTTCTGAGCATAAAGCAGGCTTTAGCTTTCCCTGCATTTTACACATAAACCAGGAAGTTTAGTTTCTCTTTCATCTGACCTTAACATCTTTCTCTCCAAAGGTCTTTCTCTCAGACTGCTGTCCTGAATGACCCCCTTCTTTCCCTTCCTCCTTAAAAAGACAGATTTATTGATCAATTAATAGTCATCCAAGTCCTTGCACCTGAGATTTCCATCTCAGCTGCTCCTCCAGAGTCACCATGAGCATCTTGGCTGCTTTGCTAATGCTCTGCTGACCCCTCAGTTCAGATGCTTCACCCTTTCCTTCTGCATGAGCTGCTGTACCCGCCCAGTCTGACCTCCCTCGGCACTCTGAGGTGTTTCTCTGTCTGCTTCACTCTGTTTGTTCTCTCATTCATAGAAGAAGCTGGATTTACTCTGAGAATCAGAGCTATAAACTCACAGGTCTGAAGCACATAGCTTTATTCAGGAATAACAAGTTAAACAGGACTGAATAAATCATCTATGACATAAAATCCCACATCCGACACTGACGGTGGTAACAAGAGCAGAAATGAATCCTTTTATGTTGGAAGTGGTTTCATTTCATGGGTGCTGGTTGAACAGCTTTCCATGCATGTTTCAGTTAAAGGACATGTTAGCAGCTCCTCTACAAACAGCAGAGGATCAAATATTTTCTATCCCGTCAGCAAATTTCAGCCTGTTTTACTGTTTTTCTCTTTGTCGCTGGAATTATAAATTCTTTTGTTGGCTATAAGAACATCCGCCTTGATTTGAACACACTAACATGCTTTAGGTGACCCAAACCTTCTGTGGACTTTGCATTCACAGACGCTGAAAGTGGAGCCGTACCACGACAGTTTTCTGGCTCGGTACCTCATTCAACGAGCTCTGCGGGTGAGTCACACATCTGTAGCTGAAACTCTGCCTTCCTTTCAGCTGTAAAACATTTTATGTGCTGCGCTTGCAGCACCTTTGTTCTGTTTGCTCACTGAAGGCTTCAGCTTGAGCTCTGAGATGGACGATCATTGCTGAGACGGGAAAAGGAGGTTTTTATCTTCTCTTCATTCAAACATAGTTTTCAAAAGATGGCCACTGCAAAAACAATCTAGAAATAAGTCAAAATATTATGAAATTTAGTGTAATTTGAGCGGGTAAATAAGATGATTTGCCAATAGAACGGGTATTTTTAGTCTCATAATAAGATAATTTGATAGTATGCAGCCGAAATAAAACTATGCAGTTGTTGTTTTTTTCTTACACTGCAAAAAATTTAAACATAAAGAAATTATTTTTTTCTTGAGTTGGGGAGGCGAGTGAAACACTTTGCCAATGGAACAAGACAATTTAAATTTAAAATAAGAAAAAAACAATTTAATTGTCTTATTTCAAGTGCATATAATCAAATGATCTTATTTTAAGAGTAAAAATATTCATTCCATTTCCAAATAATCTCATTTACCTTCTTAAATTAAAGTACACTTAATTTAAGAATTGTTTTACTTATTTCTAGTTTGTTTTTGCAGTGCATTTTTATTGGAAAAGTGTCTCACTGACCTCCTCAATTAAAAAACAAACGCATTTATAAAAAAAACAAATCTTATTTATATTAAAAAAAATTTCAGCGGTGGTAAATCAGTCAGGATGAGCATTAATCTCTGATCTTTACATATTGATCGTTTTTAGCTGTCCTGTCTTACATTTGTTGCTGGGTTTTGTCTAAATAATTTCTTAACTGTGCGTAAAATAATCAGCTGTCTATAAAACCACTGATGAAGGCGTTTGTAGTAAATTAAAGACGGATAGAAACCACATTTTGTGCACACAGATGAAGCTTTTAGTTTGATGCACACCAGCGTTCTGGTCTGGTCTCGGCTGTCTTAACGCTACTGCAAACGTTAAGAAGTTCAACGAGGTTCAACTTTTCAAAAGAAAGTTTTGCTGAAAAATCCTTTTTAGAGCAAACTTTCCAGACAGGCCGTAGTTATCCAGTGGGTTTCTAAACGAACGGCAGAGAGCGGCAGAATAAAAGATGTAAATTAGATTCTGAGATGGAGCTCCTGCAGCTTTCTTTTATTCCTAAAGCATTTCAGCAGCAGAACTTAGATTTTCTGAACTGATTCTATGAAACTAGATGCTGTTTTACAGTTAAGACCTCATGTTATGTATAATCTATGTGGCATAATAGACCTTAAATGGACTGAATGTTGTTTCCATTTAAGGTTTCTGCTGAATGCAGCTTCTGAACTCAGACGTATGTCAGTAAAATGGCAACACTTCTCTTTATGGAGCTGCTCAGGTTCTTCTCCCCCCCCCCCCCCCCCCCCCCCATGGGTCAGAATGAAACCCGTGCTTTTCTCCCCCAGGCTCTTTAAATATCCCTCACATCCCCAGAGTTTCTATTCAAGTCTGATAATTGACTGCCGAACATTTGACATTTATATTCACTGCATAATTCCATCAAATTATTCCTGCAGCTTCAGTTATGATGAGCTTTGTGGGGGCGGGGTTAGCAGGCTGGGGGGTGGGGTTATTTACTCTGTGTGTGAACTTGCAAATGTTCCACGCCGTGAAAAAAACTTTGCTATAACTATCTATGATGATATTTACATAAAGAACATCAACATTAATGTTTTTTAATCATTGGATTTTATCAGAGTAAAAAGGCTCAATAAAAAGACAAACTTTGAGGAATGTTTTTGCTTTAGTTATTTATTGGAGACTACATTTATTATAACAATGTTTTGTAAAGAATTGAAGTTAAATCAGTCCTCTGGCTGCTGCCCGTCTGGCATCACAGCGAAGGTTTTCTCAGAACATCTTTGTTGTTTAAATGACAGGAAACTAATTAAATTCAGTATTTCTCTGCATTCATTTCTAATAAAAGATCTAAACTTTATCTGCTGTCCCTGAACATCAGTTTGGAAAAGAGCAAATATTAACTGTGACTTGTTGAAAAGGGAGATGGCAGCTTCCTGTTTTTAAAGCAGCTAGTATTAGAAGTTCAGTGTAGCGTTGTTGGACGTTTTCAGTGTTTTACGATTCAAAAAGCTCTGAGTTGGAAGATGTTGGTGAAGATTGTCAGTCATCCAGATCAGAGTCAGTCCAGAAAATAAAATCAATCCTCTGGACTTTGTTTCCCAGTTTGAAGACGTTTCTCTTCCATCCAGGAAGATTTTTCTATTCAAAATGTCAGAAATAGTTCTGAGTTCCAGGTTTTATAAAGTGGACCAAAGCAAAGCCTGGTTTTTGTTTAGACTAACAAAACAAACAAACGACCCCCATTCCAAAGGGGGGGACCCGTTCATCCGTTTCTATTTGCATGTTTTCTAAACTAAAACCAGGCTTTGTTGGGCTGCTGGATAAAACCTGGAACTAAACGCTATTTCTGACATTTTGGATTGAAAAATCTTCCTGGATGGAAGAGAAACGTCTTCAAACCTGGAAACAAAGTCCAGAGGATTGATTATAACATTTTTTGGAGGGACTCTGAGTTTAATATTTACTGTTTTACATATAAGACTTTTTCCCAGGAGTTTTATTTTGACATTGTTCATTTCTTTTTCTTTTTTTCCTTGCAGAGCAAAAGAATCGGCCACTTCTTCTTCTGGTATGTGCGCAGTGAGGTTGCAGGGTGTCCCTACTTCCGCCAACGCATGGCGGTGATTCTGGAGGCCTACCTCCTGGGATGCGGTCAGAACATGATCGACAGCTTCACCAAGCAGGTCCAAGCCGTGGAGGCCCTGCAGGAAGTCGCCATGGTCATCAAGAGGCTTTACCCAGACAAAACAGATCTCCCTTCCTCAGGTAGCACAGAGTGAAACTTATCGTTAGATAGATTTGTTGCACATAGAATAAACTACGTTAAGTCCTTATTTTATGTATTTGATGGCCTCTGTTCAATGAAAGGAAAAATCCCACAATCCAACAGAGCTGAAGGATCTTTCATCGCTGTCAGCATAGAACCGTGAGAAATGACTGCTGTGTGAAAGATATATGTAGACTAGACAGTGCAGTTTGATCATTAGGTGTCTCGGAAAATCAGACATTGTTTCTTTAAATACTCTGAAGACTCAATAAAATATGGAAAGATAAATAATTTTGAATTAAAAATGTTTCCAGTTTATATAAAATAAAAATACATATAGTTTGGTTTTGATGGCTGAGCTAATAAGAGTTTGAGTGAATCTAATGCAGTTAAACTAACAGATAAATATTCTTTTATCTTTGTTTCCTCTTTTCTGAACCTTAATGGCTGAAAATGATCAAACAGCCATAAATGAGCCTATGATGCTGCACAGCAGCTTTTTCTCTTGTGTTCATTTCCTTATGTGGCAGGAAATGGTCCAGTTTAATTTCCAGGACGTTTTTCTCACGGTTAATCAAATTCTATTCAGTTTATTTCTATAGCTCCAATTCACATCATGTCATCTCAGGTCACTTTCCAGTTCACCAGATCATCCAGTCAGATTGATTTCTATCTAAGGAAAACCAGCTGATTGCATCGACTCATTGACTCTTCAGCAATCCCTCACACTAAGCATGCTTGGAGCGACAGTGGAGAGGAAAAACTCCCTTTGAACAGGAAGAAACCTCCAGCAGAACCAGGCTCAGTGTGAGCGGCCATCTGCTGAGGCCCACTGGGGTTCAAGGAGACAGAAGCAGACATAGAAAAAGAAGCATAGATAGAAAAGGCAACTGTCAACCAGCTCCACAGGCGGCCCCGTCCAGGAAACACACAGCCAGGCAGACGAGCTCCGAGCCAGCTCCCATGTCAGAGGATGAAGAGAGCACATCCAGTTAGTCACAGTCAGAGAAACAGGACTACACTGGAAAACAGGCCAAGCTCCAACATCTAGAAACAAAGGTGTTGATGGCAGCAGCACAGCTGATATTTCTCTACATGCCTTTTTTTTTTTGAGTTTTTACGGCAGTAGTAGCTTATTTTTTTGACAGTAGGCTGACAGGAAAGGGGGTGTGAGAGGGGAGGAGACATGCGGCAAAGGACCACAGGCAAGAATCTACGCCAGGTCGGCCGTGTTAAGGACTAAGGCCTCCGTAGATGGGTCATGTGACCTCTGCGCTAGCTGCACACCCCCTCCATGCCTTTCATGGTCCACTGCTGCTCAAGCTTTGATCTTGAATCTTGTTTCCAGAGTCTCCTCGGCGCTATGTGAAGCGCAGAGGAATTCATGTTTAGCTGAACAGGTTCTGTTGCAGGAAAACATCATCAAACCATTTCAGGGAACGCTGGATTCAGCTTGTTCTCTTTGTTCTGATATGCAAAATCACCTATTTTAGCGTCTATGCAGACGGAGATCTACACAAACACTCTGCTGATTGGAATCTGATTACTGACTAAAACAAGTCCGACACATTTTACTTGTTGACAGGTGACTTTTTATTTCCTAATTTCTTCTGAAATTGTTGGGGTGTGTGTTGGGGTGGGGGGTTGCGTCAGAGGAAGGTCTCATGCTGTGAGATTTGAACATGAGGATGAAATCAAATGAAACCTCTTTAGGTTCTGGGTTTTTACTTTCCTAAATGGATCTGGTCCTTTTTAACTCGGACCCGGCAGCACCGTGACCTGGCTGCTCTCCCAGTGGGTCCCAGCAGGGCTGTCCCACTGGGACCTCCCACTGCTCCTCTCTGTTAGACACAGGATGACAGGGTAGACTCTGTTCTTTACCGCCTTACATTGCAGGAAATGTTTAAATCTTTAGGGAACCTGAAATGTTTCTGATTCTTTTCTAATGTTCTGATATATAAAACATTCTTTGATCAAATTATCTGTCTGTCAGACTATAAATAAACTGAAGTTCTTGTTAAGCTGTACCTTTTCCAGATATTTTTCTTAACTTCTTAATATTGAGAGGGAAACAAAAAGCCGTCTCAGTCTGGTAAATATGGCTACGAAGGTGAATCCCTGCTGCACACCTGCTGCACAGCAGAGATGATCTCTCCTCTTGTTTGGCCCATTAGGTCAGCAGGTGTTTCTAAGGCATGCAGCGTTTTACCGGGACGTTCATCTCTAAAATGAATCTGTGTCTTCATTTGTGTCTTTTCTCAGCTCCACAAAGGCTGCAGGAGCTCCTCAGGAACAGCAATCTGCCCAATGAATTCCTGTTGCCCTTTGACCCCCGCATCAAGGCTGGAGTCCTGCTGGTAGGTCTGGTTACAGTGGTTGCTCAGAGCTCAGATGACGTTCTGAATACGCAGTGTTTGGTCCTGTGGTTTTGTTTTTATCCTTACTCTGTTGTTTTTAGGCTCATGTCCTTTAATCAGTCCCTAGTTTTACTTCATATAGTAAAACATCTCAGCTCTGAATGTGTTAAAGTGACTCAGTCAGGCTCTGGTTTCAACATCTTAATCTACACAACCTGCTGCAGGTGAATAAAGACCCAATGTGCTTCTTTTTAAAGGAAAAGTCCAGTCAGCAATGAATATTAGGATCATTATTTATACCTAAAACTAATAAGTTCACCGTGACTTAATGAATTTAGTGTTAATCAGTAAAAAAAATATAAATAATTTCCATCGCGATCACTGAGTCTGGGAGCGGCCATTTTTTCCCAAATATAGTAGCCCCTCCCTCCTGCCATCTTCCAGCAGTGACGTCACGGTGCGGTAAGCCTAGCGCCATTCTCCCCGCTTTCCAAGCTAAATCAATGGGAACTACTAGACACATCTGCAATCAACAACAATTATTGAAGATTTCCAGAGGACTTCACCATTGAAATTCACCAGAGCTATAGTGAAACTGACAATGCCCACGTGCATGGCAGCTGGATGCTGGAATACATCGGGTAAAAGTGGAAAAAAGAGTTATTCCACCTTTCTGATTCCTGATCCTCCACGGACGGGTTGGTCGTTGGATCGCCAACTTGAAGAGGGAGGATTTGCCATCGAGGCAACTCTTCAAGGCAGTACTACTGTAGGCCTTGTTGGTATATATTTTTATTATATTAAGTGGTAGAAATCTAGAACTAATACTCATGTTCAGTTTACATTTCTGAAGTAGTTTTTCGAAGAAGACAGAATCAGGGGAGTAAACAATGGAGAACAACATGGAAGGAAGCCAGGATATAGTCAGGGAACTTTGTTTCTCTATTATGGAATGTAAACAGACTTGTTTCTGATTGTTAGATCAGAAGTGACTTGCACGGTGTGTTGACATCTGTATGTTGCGTTCAATGGTATCACGTAATTTAGCGGGTGAACCCGGGTCTGATGTTCCCATAGCATGCCAATCAGATCCAGCCAACATTTGGAAGAAGAATGTTTTCAAGATGACTTGGATAATAGCGTGTTGTGACAAACACCAGATACAGCACTGGGACTTGATCAACAGCCGATACCGCACCGTGACAATGTCACTAACCAGTAGGTGGCAGTAGTGTTCTTTGACAAACATGGATGCCTTTAATCTGACAGATTAAATAATCCCATCAGCATCCAGCAGATGTTCAGTTTCTGATGGAGATGAGAAATCTGCTTCCTGGTCTGTTTAAGAACCAATAGCTTTTATCCAATCTTTGAAATAAACGCGGTTAGTTTTTTTTTAAATATAGAAGAATTATGCTCTAATTTGTAGTTACTGATCTGTTGTTACTATATTTTAATTTGTCAAACCGGATCTTCTCGTCGTTCTTTCTGCTGTTTGGTGCGATTGCAAAGCGGATCCTGACCTGGCCGGACCGGAGCGGAGCCTGAACATTTAGAGGATGTTTGGCTCAACCTGCTGCTGTGAAGCAGGATTCTCCACCATGAACAGAATCAACAATAAATCTGGATCCAGGCTCAAAATGAGCTCCTTGATATGTGCTTGAGAATGGCTTAGTCTCCGGTTAAACCCAGGTTTAAAGCCTTGCAGGGCAGCCTAAAGCCCACTGCCAACATTAAGACAGAAAAAAGAAAGAAAATAACAAACCATCAGTTCAGCTGTTTGAGAAAATATAGGAATCAGGAAATTATCTATAAACCAAACTGAACGATTGTCGTTCTCTACTTCAAAAACAATTTAGATTTTAAAATGGAAAATTTTTCATTTTTTTATTTTCAGTGTTAAATTGATATTGAAGTGATATCTACTGTGCTTGTGAAGGTATAAAGATTTTAATGGCCTACTTAGTCAATCAACCTTTAAATATTACAGCAGCGGTCGCTGCATATAACAGTGAATAATGATGCACACCAAAGGGGATAAGATGCTGGAAACAGGAGTTTTGCGGTGAAATGAAATGAGATGTTGAACTGGAGCCAAATAAATAAACTGGATCTTTTTCCTCTGATGCAGCTGGACAGATGCAAAGTGATGGCCTCGAAGAAGAAGCCTCTCTGGCTGGAGTTTTCACCGATGCCATCCCCCACCTCCAACACACCAGTAGGGATCATCTTCAAAGAGGGAGACGACCTGAGGCAGGACATGCTAGTTATCCAGGTGAGACAGACCAGAGATCCTCCTGATTCTGCCTCACATGTTTCCTCTGAATCACTGAACATGAGACCCTTCTGCCTCAGACCCTGGTGGTGATGGAGTCCATATGGCAGGAGAAATCTCTGGACCTCAACCTCATTCCATATGGATGCATCTCCACCGGACACAACATTGGTATGCTGAGCATGTGCGCTCTCTGCAGTTTAAGCCCTTTGTTAACCTGTTTGCTTAAACTGATCTGAACTCGTTTATTCAGGAAAGGGAGATTAATGTATTATTAAAATAATTATTTAGTAATCGATTCATTGTTAATTGGAGTACAGAGACTGTAAAACATGCCTTAAGCTGACAAACCCAATTAGGACAGTAATTATACCAAAATTGTAAAAAATTTAAATATTTTGCATTTAAGAAAATAAAAACACTTTTTCCCCCGTCAGTCCAGAACTCCAGAAGTCGAAAAAGTTTTAGTTTACCTGGATTAATTTAATAAAAAAAAAAAACCTCTATACGGAACCTTTGGCTATTTGAATATTAATCCATTAATAGAAATAACAATTGCCAGATTAAACAGTTATCAAAATAATCATTGGTTGCAGCCCTGGTTTCATGTCTTTAATGTGTTCTCCTTTAATTGGTTTAAAATGTAAATAAAAGAACAAAATGAAATCACCAAACTGCTCAGTCTGTGCAGGAGCTTCATAAACATGATCCCTTCAGAGACAGATTCCTTTTTCAAGGTTACCATTTAAAGAGCTTGTTTTTGATTATTTCAGCTTTAAAGACATTTCAATTCCATAAAATCGATTAGTTCCTTAATGAAAGGTTTCTGCCTTCAGGAATGATTGAAATCGTGAGGAATGCAGCCACCATTGCCGCTGTTCAGAGAAGCCTGGGCGGAACGACTGCCACCTTCAGGAATGACGCTCTGTTCGAGTGGCTCAGGTCCAAGTGTCCCCTGCAGGAAATAGTGAGTCAGATCTTTCCTACAGCAACCACAGTTCTTCTCATTGGATCTGAATCCCAGAGGAAGGATTGTGTGAAAAAGTTCAGCAGCTCAGAGAACCAGAGCACTTCCTAATCAATAAAGCCTACATGTCTTCCTTGCCAAAGTTTTGTTACAAACCCTGAAAAAGTGTTTTTCTAATATAATTATAGACACATGCACAGAGGTGGAAGGTGTTGCGATAAATCAATACATAAATAAGGGCTGCTAGGTGGGTTTCATGTGTGGGTTTTCTCACGCCCCATAACTCCTGGAGATACAGAAGGCATCGGCCACTCAAACGCTCCTTTGGTTCGATCCACTATTTCAGAGAAAAAGAGAGAGACTGCCTGTCAGTAAGGCAGTTAACATCTGTTCAACCAGCTGTTCTGCTGCATTGATGGACAGTCAGTAACACTGTCAGCATGCCTCAGGTCTGGGCAACCGGAGGGCAAACTGCATGTCTGCAAAATGTCATGATAGGGACTGACCAGTGGCAACTGGTGGACTTTATTTCAGGGGGTCTATAACTTCCAAATAGACTTATACCAAAAACCAATCAAATGCATACTAAGGTATTACAGCAGTATATTTATAGGAACGCCAACAACAATAAACATCATTCTAAAATGTTCTGCAAAGTGCTTTAAATCAGTCCTAGCCGTCTTTATCCAGGCTGGCTCAGATCCTGATATTTGAAAAAGAGGCAGGGAAAGCAGGATAAAGCCTTAGCCTCGCTACATGCAGTTAGCCTCGCTGCATGCAGTTAGCCTCGCTACATGCAGTTAGCCTCGCTGCATGCAGTTAGCCTCGCTGCATGCAGTTAGCCTCGCTGCATGCAGTTAGCCTCGCTACATGCAGTTAGCCTCGCTGCATGCAGTTAGCCTCGCTACATGCAGTTAGCCTAGCCTTGTTGCTAAATAATCCTATAAACCTGTCAATCAGCTGCACTTTCTAACAGACGATTGTGACGTCAGCGCTGTGGAGGGAGATGGAGAGCAAATAAAGCTGCTTTCAGCTCTGGGTGCAGGAGAGCTGCTTCCCAGGATGCTCCTATCTTTAGCATTGAACAGGAGCGTCTGCACTGGACACTTTAACCAGAGTCTATGGAGGAAGATTTATGCCCCCCAGGGTGGAAATATGTCACCAGTCTGACAATGCATGAAACTTCTTTACTCGTCATTAAAGATTAAATATTTAATTTGCACATAAAAAGAAAGGAACTCATGCCAAAACTGAAAGCTGCACGTGAGAAGGGTGAAATAGCTTATCTCAGACACGACAAACTGATAATCCGACCTCGTACCAGCACCCCAAGATAGGATAAATAAACGGAAATATGCTTACAGGACTGCTTCTTAAAATATATGGCAATGACATCCCAACACAAGCGACTAAAAAGTGGACTAACTATTGCACATATAAATATAAACAGTCTAAGAAACAAAACAAATGATATAGCTGAATTGTTAGAAGAACATAAGCTAAAGATACTTGCTATTTCTGAGACTCATTTAGACTCCTCCTTTGAAGATAGTGAATTACATATAAAGGGTTACAACATTTATAGAAACGATAGAAATAAATATGGTGGTGGAGTAGCTTTTTACATTCAAGATCATTTACCTGTAAAAATGTGTACTGACATGATGAAATATAATATTGAAATATTATGGTTACAAGTTTATTTTCCTCACAGAAAGCCTATAGTAGTAGGCTACTGTTACAGACCTCCAAGTTCTAACAATGAATATGTTGACACAATCTGTGAAATGTTAGCTAATATGAATGTGAGTCTGGATGTCTATTTACTTGGAGATTTTAACATTGACTGGTTTGCTCATAACTGTCCACTGAAGAATAAGATACAAATTGGAGCAAATGCAGGTGGATTTGATCAAAAGCCAACAAGAATATGTGTAAAACAAGATGGTACTAAAACAGCTACATGTATTGATCACATTTTTACAAACTCTCCAGAAACAGTTAACAAGATATCATCGGTCCCAATTGGAAGCAGTGACCATAATCTGATTATAGTAGAAAAAAACAATAAGGTAGATAGGCAAGGACCTACAATAATTTTTAAGAGATCATATGCATCTTTCAATCCTTATTCTTTTGTTGACAATGTGAGAGAAATATGTTGGTCTAAAGTGTTGACTGAAAGAAATCCTGAGCTTGCACTGTCAAAGTTTGATGATTTATTTCTACCTGTGATTGAGAAACATGCACCTTTGAGAAGGTTTACCGTCAGAACATCGAAAACACCCTGGCTGGACAAAGAAATGAAAGAAGCTATGAAAATGAGAGAACAAATGAAAAAAACTGCAATTATAACTGGGAATAAGGAAGACTGGTGCCTCTATAGGAAAACAAGAAACGCTGTGACCAAGCTAAATAAAAAGAAAAAAAAGAATTATTATGAAGATAGAGTAAAGAAGGCGGGGAATGATTGCAAAAAAATGTGGAAGATAGTTAATGATTTGACAGGTAGGAAAAATAGAACGCATCCATTATTCCTTGAGACAAATGATGGCTTCATAACTGGATCTAGAGAAATTGCTAATTATTTAAATAATTATTTCATTAGTAAAATAGCAAAACTAAGAGAAAATATGCCTAACCTAAGTAATGAAATATCTCACTTATTAATAAGAAATGAAATAATGAAAGGGAAAAGGTCCAAGTTTAAATTAGAAATGGTTAACTTGCAGAGGGTAAAGGATTGCCTGAAAAAGTGCAAAGATAAACCACCGGGTGTTGATGAACTGGATGTCAGACTTCTCAAATTGGTTGCTGATGAAATCGCTCCTGTAATTACTCACATTATTAATTTAAGTTTTATGTCTTCAGTGTGTCCACAAGCCTGGAAAACAGCCAAAATAATCCCATTACAGAAAAATAAGAAACTGCCCTTTTCCAGCTCAAATAGTCGTCCGATAAGTCTACTACCTGTGTTAGGAAAAATAACAGAGACCATAGTATATGAACAAATTAATAATTATCTGTCGATTAATAACATAATTTGTCACTCTCAACATGCTTATAGAAAGGCTCATTCTACAGCAACAGCACTAATTAGTATGTCTGATGACTGGCTTAGGAGTATTGAAATGAAAGATATGGTGGGAGTTGTGTTTCTAGATTTTTCAGCTGCTTTTGATTTAATTGACCACGATCTGCTATTAGAAAAACTTTCCTGCTATGGTTTTGAACAATCTGCACTTACTTGGTTTTACAGTTATTTAACTAACCGGTCACAAACGGTATATTTTAATGGTGCATTTTCTGAAAAACAAACTGTAACATGTGGTGTACCTCAAGGGAGCTGCCTGGGTCCTTTATTATTTTCAATATTTACTAATGACTTACCATACATACTCAAAAGAACTAAAATAATTATGTATGCAGATGATTCCACTATATATACATCAGCAAGAACAAATAATGAATTAGAAATTATTATGAATAACGAACTAGTGGGAGTGGATAAATGGGTGAAAGCAAATAAGCTGGTATTGAATACAGCAAAAACTAACAGCATGATTGTGAGGTCAAATTACAACGTAAACAGTAATCATATATTGAATATTAATATCAATAACGTCTCGATAAGGAATGTGCATGAGTCCAAGCTTCTGGGAGTGACGGTGGATAACACGTTATTATGGAGAAAACATATTAATAACATGATTGCAAAGATGGGTAGAGGAATCCCAGTCATAAGAAGACATGCAACCTTTATGTCCCCACATATTCTTAAAATGATAATCCAATCATTGATTTTTTCTCATATGGATTACTGCCCAGTCGTCTGGTCAAATGCCCCAGGAGAGATGCTAAATAAACTACAACATGTACAAAATAGAGCTGCCCGAATAATATTGAAGTGTGAACAAATATCATAACAATGCATAAAAAGTTAAACTGGTTGTTGGTTAAAGACAGACTTTCATACTCATTGACTGTTATGATTAGAAACATATCTGTATTAAAAACACCTTATATGTTATTTACAAACCTTACTTTTAGTTCAGAAAATCACGAATACATGACTAGGCATGCGACTGAAGGAAACTTTAGTTTGCCTAAAGTAAAGTCAAATGCCCTAAAAAGAACTGTTATGTATAGAGGTATGAAAGCATGGAATTTACTGCCGAATTACATTAAACCGATAACTGATTTAAGGAAATTTAAAAAATCATTGAAAGAACATTTATTAAATATAGAGGTAAAACATGATTAGGACTGTCTTCTTCACTTGCTGTGCTTTGTAGTTTGTTTTGATTAGTTTGGATTGTTTCTGTTTATGTATATGGGTATATACACTATATTGCCAAAAGTATTTGCTCACCTGCCTTGACTCACATATGAGCTTAAGTGACATCCCGTTCCTAATCCATAGGGTTCAATATGACGTCGGTCCACCCTTTGCAGCTAGAACAGCTTCAACTCTTCTGGGAAGGCTGTCCACAAGGTTTAGGAGTGTGTTTATGGGAATTTTTGACCATTCTTCCAGAAGCGCATTTGTGAGGTCGCACACTGATGTTGGACGAGAAGGCCTGGCTCTCAGTCTCCGCTCTAATTCATCCCAAAGGTGTTCTATCGGGTTGAGGTCAGGACTCTGTGCAGGCCAGTCAAGTTCATCCACACCAGACTCTGTCATCCATGTCTTTATGGACCTTGCTTTGTGCACTGGTGCACAGTCATGTTGGAAGAGGAAGGGGCCAGCTCCAAACTGTTCCCACAAAGTTGGGAGCATGGAATTGTCCAAAATGTCTTGGTATGCTGAAGCATTCAGAGTTCCTTTCACTGGAACTAAGGGGCCAAGCCCAGCTCCTGAAAAACAACCCCACACCATAATCCCCCCTCCACCAAACTTTACAGTTGGCACAATGCAGTCAGACAAGTACCGTTCTCCTGGCAACCGCCAAACCCAGACCCGTCCATCAGATTGCCAGATGGAGAAGCGCGATTCGTCA